TATAATCATAACAGTAGGGAGAGGGAGGCAAGGGTATAATCATAACAGTAGGGGTAGGGAGGCAAGGGTATAATCATAACAGTAGGGGGAGGGAGGCAAGGGTATAATCATTAGAGTAGGGGGAGGGAGGCAAGGGTATAATCATAACAGTTGGGGTAGGGAGGCAAGGGTATAATCATAACAGTAGGGGTAGGGAGGCAAGGGTATAATCATAACAATGTCAACAATCTCAATTGTTGAAGTAGCTTTTGAATGATATGGTGATGACATGGGGAGGAATCCAAAGTCATTTCATTTTCCTGCTGTTCTACATGAACTTACCAGTGCTTTCAATAAGACCTGGCACCCGCCGGAGCTCCGGCGGCTATTCTGTTGCGAGTCGCTGGGTATATTTCACCGCGCTCAAGTCGCAGTCGCCACGCTAAGTCGCAATCAAGTCGCTCTCCGGCGGATGTTGTACCGAGGTAGCCACCTATTTCAAATCTTATTGAAAGCACTGACTTACTACTTGTTCTTGCAGCGAACCTTTATTATTTGATATACTAAATTAAAAAAGGAGGAAAATTACCAGCTCACAGACTAACGAAGATTGATTACACAAGGAAGCAGGGCAAAGTAACCGTTAACTAGGGAGAATTTCTATTTAACGAGGAGTGTGAAATTCTGAGCTTAGTTCTTCCTGGAGTACACTTAATTAAATAATTCAAGACATGAAATCCATTTACCAGCCTTGCTTCCCTTGGAAACTACTGGTAGGAAGTCTTTGGACGTATAGAAGCCATTCTGCACATTTAACCCCTCAAATACTGGTGACAGCCTGGGCTGAGGCAGACCTGGTTAACAACCACAACTTGTATGTCATTATGTGTTATACATAGTCAGCTACATGTGCATCCATGCTTATAATACAATTACAAATTATCCTTACAATCTGTTTGGCTAGTGTAAATATACATCTAAATGGTTGATCAAGGTCAGCTGTCAAAAGTTATGTCAATAAGTAGACAAGCAAAGTAAGACAGAGCTAGTTCACTCCAAACTTGTCTGCAGTCAAATTCTCATAACAACTCAACCATTTGAATGATTCATATAAAAGGTAAACACCACTCCTGAATAGGTGCTACCCATCCCACCAGAGTTTAATAAGCAATTAAATTATTAATAAAAGTCTTTCTTGAGGACGTTACTTCTAATTCCAGTTTGAACCAGTGTTTTAACAAAAAAAAAAAAAAACAGGAAATACGATCTCTCTGTAAACAATTCAGTGAAATAAGAAACAAAAAAACTTACCAATACCAATGAAGATGCTCTCATACCCAGCTTCCTTGAGAGCTTTGATAGACAGTCCATCTTTACCTAAGCCTTTACCAAGTTCAATCTGAAATATCAACAGTAACTTTCAATTAAATTTGTATATATATTTTTAGGAAATAAACATCAGACATGTAGTATACCAAATATCACCTTTCAGAGAAATCAACAGAAGAACTAGCAGCATTGTGCATGTTTAAAAAAAATAAAATCGATCTTCAAAATATGTATCCAAATGTTTTCAAGAAATGTAAGACTCATCAAATACAATTAACCCACACCACATGTACAAACCACGATATCATAAAAAGTCTTCACCTGTCTACTGTCCTTCCATAGCTTTCTACATAACTGCTGACTAAACCACAACTTGACATTGTTTTGGGTGCATTTAGCAACTTTATTTTAGAAGCATGTTGCATAAATCTCTAAATGTAGTCTGCTAAGTACATTCCTATAGTAAGCTCATGGTGGAATATTCTAGCACCTTAAGTTAAGGTAAAAAAGAGCAGCACAATCATTATTTTCAAGAGTGTAATTGCGTCATTATCACCAGCTATCATTACCACTGAATCAACCTTCCAGGTCATTGTTGCAATCAGAAATACTCTACAATGACACTCCTGGCAACTACACTTTGCTATTTGGACTACAGTTTCCTGAGACAGGGCAAGGTTTGCACAGAACAACTTACACACAACATACAACAAAACCTCTTAAAATTTTCCTCACGAAAAAGAATTGGTTACCTTGACTCCAAGGTCCTTCATAAGTTCCACTTCAAAATTAACTGCATCATATGGAAGCCTGTATTGCGGAATCTCTGAAGAGCTGTTATTAGAAACAAAATCATAGTTGTTTGGTAAGAACAGCTGATTAATGTCTGTCAGCCTGAAAGTCTGCTGGTGCAAGCAGTTTTCCCTTTGACGCCATTTCTAGTCATGTGGCAAAAACATTTCAAGAGGCTGGACCAGAGTCCACTAATGTACAATCTGCCATAATATTAGTTGATACAATAATAGTATATTAAAAAAACCACACTAAGAAAGGAAGTACCAAGAAATACAAATTAAAATGAAGTTTAATTTGCTACAATAACCCAGTTCTGTTCCCCAATTTGATGTTGTAAGTAATTTATATAAAATGAGGGTAAGTGTGTCATCAGTGGTCCAAACACCGAGATACAGAGGTGCTTTTATTGTTTCGAGGTGTTTGGAGCCCCTGATGAAACAAGAAGCACCAGTTTTTGAGGTGACTTCTCAAATGAAACAATAAATATGTAGCAATACATTTTTTCTATTTTCCTCCCCAAATGAAAGAACAATAATTTATGCAGTGACACAGTTGTGCCATTATTTGTAACATTATGTTTATATGCATGCAAGATAACTTGTTTTGGTGTTAGTTGGTGTGTGACCATGAGTAAAAATGGAGCAGCAACATTTAGGGAGCCAAAAACAGTTTACAAAGAATGCAAGTAAGTTAAAAAGCTATTCCCTCATTTACTAAATGTAGGAACAAATTGGTGGTAACAATTCTTGGCAAATGGCAAATTTCTCAGTCAGTTATAGATCCTGTTTCAGATCCTCGAAGACTACGATTTACATACTCAAGGTTGCACAACTTTCTACCAGTATTGAAGAAATAGATGCAGTAACCTTGAATTACTAGCTTGGCAGGTTTGTGATGGAGGTGGCCTAGAAGTTGGGGGAGAGATATCCACCGAGGTAACATTTAGGTCATTTTTGGAATTGTTGTTAACGATGTATTAATTGTTGAAAATGCTAATTAAAATGCAAGTGTTTGATCTGAGATCAAAACCATGTTTCATCTCAGATCAAAACTCTTCAAGATTTTCATCTGAGTGTTCACTGGGTATCAAAGTTCATGCATGTGACACAAATATGCCTCATTTAATGGCTGTTGTCCTTATGAATTATTAATGAATTTGAGAATATCATGGATTGTAGAGGAGCTGAGATGAAGGGTGAGAGTAGTACACAAGATTACGTGGGTATGCTGTTGCTAAAAAATGCAATCACAATAAATTGGATTTCTTTGATATCTTTGCCAGAGAGTCTACTCAAACATTTGCCTCAGCCATTGCATATACATGTAAGAGGGGAGACTATAAATATAAGACATCCAGGCATGGATAAGTCCATGCCATATTATTCATTTTGTTTTTATCGGTTTAAACTCAATACAATATTTTAGGTTTTTTAAAAAAATTAAAGCTGGAGTTCCCTTTAAAAATAAGATTCATGAATATCATATTACAGTCCCATTACAGCTCTAGCAGTTTGACTGCATGTACTGTAACTTAACAGGGTTCGACATCTCCGCTAGCCCGGTAGCCCAAGGCTAGTAAAAATTTGGTTGGGCTAGTAAAAAGCCACATTTAATAGCCCATTGGCTAGTAGAAAAATTGAAAGAAACTATTTATACATAGTTTGCTTGAAGCTCGCAGTTAATGAAAAAACAAGAAAGTTTAAATTACAATGATAATACCAATAAAGAAAGCATAAGCCTTTCATCTTCTGGCATCTTTCTTTTATCTTGCGTGTAGATCGTGAACATCGCTCCATCCCAGACTCTGTGTTTAATGGTCAATGCCTTCCCCAGTCTTCTCCCTACCAATGTTCCGGTGCCTTGCACACCGCCTCGCACAATTGCGTCGCACTTGAAAATTTACTAAACTTTTCCCTTAAATAACACTTATATACTATCACAATTAAAAAAAACGCCACTTTTATCATTCTAGAAGACCTTGCCAATAAATTCAGAGGAAGGTTTGCGTGTTTGGGGTTGAAGTAGACCTCAAGGGAAATTGATCCAGGCTACCGAGTTGCGTTTCGGGCTAGTAAATTTTAGAAATCACTAGCCTGGTGGCTTGTAGTGCAGGTAGCCAGGTGTCGAACCCTGCTTAACAAACTGGTTTGATTCAATCCTTGTACCAAAATTATTCATTTTAGCACCCTTCCTCCAAGAGAAACCCGTGCACATGGTTTTACCCCGTGCACATCAAGAAGACCATGAAACATAGCTACACTTCATTTTCCACTAAAAGTACCATATAAATACTAAGCAAAGGTTTAATCAAATACCTTAATCCACCAACGTAATTCTCCTTTTCAAATACTGTCAAGTTTGTGTAACCAAGGCGAGCTAAAAATGTTGCACAACTTGTTGAAGCAGGACCACATCCAATGAATGCCACCTTAAGGGAATAAACATTAAAAACCAAGCTAAATAACTGATTGAAAAGACTTTCATGAACAACTTGTTCTGAGCATGTGAAGAAATTCTCTCATTGCCCTTGCATCTGATATGAAGAAATACTTTGCCTACATACAGGACGGTATACTTTTGGTTTATGCAAGTGATCAGAATTTCCTCATGAAAGATTTAACCTCTACCTTGGATTCTTAAAGCGGATGAAGGATGGGATAACAGAGACTGACTAGGGGAACGAAAGCTGTGGGGACGGAGGGAATGGGAAGTTAAAAGGAAATTCAGTTGAGCCACTTAAAAGACTGTTTCTTTGAGATACCTTGTTTGCAGGTGAGATGAGTTTCTAATGGTGTGGCATGTCTTCAAAGTGCAATTTTAAAATTTGGTATTCAAAGAGCATAACACTTAATACTTGTCTTCCTGATACTGTATTTTAGTATAATTTCAGAGATGAGCAAAGAGTTTCTAGCAATCTGTTTGGTCAAGTGGTTCCTTATATGATGCTATATAAACTGCTCCACGCGGTTTATATAAAATGTTAAAAAATAAAATGTTAATGTTACTAAAATGTTTTGATTTTAGAAATTTCTCTGTTGTTCAGCTCTGATATTATACTAAAACAATTATTCGCCTCAGGTTTGCTAAATTTTGATTATTCGACGATATTCACCTCGCCATCGGCGAATAATTGTTAAATATCAACTGCCTTAATACAAATGTCTTAAAAAACTTACATATATGTGCAATAATAAGAAGGTCAAAACAATAACGTGTAGATTACTTCACTAGCATCATGTTTGTAAACATACATCTAGTACAACTTTGTAAATTTCAAAGTCTGTCAACTACATATCCATAAATTGCATTTTACAAAGTCTGGCCATTAAAATTCTGTCAGCCAAACACGAGTTACTGCAATACTGAAATTCTGAATGAATAAAACCACTTAACAAATGAATGACACTGGACACACACATGGTGGCTACTGCTCACCTTGGAGTGGTAACTCTCAGGAAGCTGGTCAACAGGTTCCATTGAAGGATCACGTATTTGTCCAATTCTCATCTTCTTAAAAATCTGACAGCCAATGTAGAGTTTTCCATAAATACTGTCATGTATGTATCATTTTAATATATACACTAGCTGTTTGTTAAATTCATATGATTGGTTATCAACTGATAGAATAGTACAGTGTATAGGTATATCATTCAGGTCAACTTTAAAATTAACTTAATAATGATACACATTTGCATCCCAATTTTTTGGGACATTTCAGTGACATATGCCATCGAAAACCATATAATTATTTAAAGTTATTATTGAGAGTTTTTCATTTTATAGCCACAAGTCTGAATTTCCTACACCACAGTCCTACATATGGGACATAAATTTGGATTTTAATTTTCAATATGCCCAGCTGGGATTCCCACCTGTAAACTACAGCATGCAGATGGGATCCCATGTGGGGAGGGCAGGATCCCGGTCTGAAAATTTTGCCAGTATCCCACCCAGGATATTCCAACCTCTTACATGTATTTTTAAGCTGGGAGATGAAAATAATTAGAATAAGACATAATGTTTATCAATTTCAACAATCAAGATTTTTAAAAGTCATCTCACCAGCCCAGTGTTACTGACTAATCTAAAATCTAAATTTACCTCTGTAGCAAACTGCTGCAAGCCACCAATGTTAATAGGTCCCTCCTCAGTGGCATACAAATTACAGCCACCAACACAAAGGTCACTTGTAGGGCACACCATACCACATGTCAGACCAAGGGGATTATCACTCAAGATTGCCTTTGCTGCTCCATAATAGTTCTGTTAGACATCAATCAAAAACAGTTCACCATTCAATAGAGAAAGGAACAAAGTAGAGAACAACCCCTATAGAGCCATATGTTGCAGCTACATGTACCAAGACAATTAGCTATTGTGCCACAAGCAATCATTTTGTTTTGCTACTTATCAGAACAATGGTCTGACACACTAATTTGAGAAAACAACCAATCCAATACTGGCAAACTTTCAGACCATATGGTGATCAGTGACAGAAAATTTTAAAATGAATGGTTATAAATTAGTTCTAGCTATCGCCCCTTCCCCTACCTCTGTGATGTATTTGACCAGTTTTGTTTAATCCTACAAATAACTCCCAAGATCTGATTGTTAATTCTCCTCTTCAGCTCCTTGCAAATTTGTTGCAAAAATTTTGTTAGATCAAGATACTGGTAATAACTTCTACCCAATAAATTTGAGTATCCTCATTACTGTTTGATGGATGATGTATGGGTATTATAGAGAAAGTTGTAAGTCAATCACATTTTGGAGTTAAAAAGGTTAAATTAGAATTATCTTTTAGAATTAAAAAATTTTGTATAAAAACACAAGTTTCATGTAAATAACATAAGTTAGAGGCATGGTAGACCTTCAAGGGCCAATTTTTTTGGAATATTTTTCTTACCAAACTAAGCATTATAATTTTCATTATGGTTTCCAATAAAAATTTTGGTAAAATATTGAAATGCATGCAAGTTATTTACAAAAACCTATTTTTGAACATTGTCCCCTCTCACCCATAAAGCAATGATATGCCACAATGTGATGCAATCCAGCTTTTATATTTTGTGTGCTAATAGATGGTCCTCTAATTCTCTTCAGTTGAAGCTATAAATTTCTCATAATGATTGTGTTGTTACATTTAAGTCTGAGGGCATCCAGGTTGAAAAGAGTTCAGGCTATTATGACAAAAAAATTAATGCAATGTAAACAGCTAAACAGCTGTTCAAAGGCCTAGAAAAAAGTCTGGTATATGTTTTTATAAATCATGATGTACATTAATATCTTAAAACTTTATCCTTGACAGCCCACCACAGGCAGTGTGTCCAGGTTGAAGAGAGTTATGGGAAAGCACATAGCACCATAGAACTGTTTTGATATAATTTTTGAAAAGGTTCATCAAAAGGGTCCTTTGGGAAAACTAAAATGAATTACAAAATTTTGCAATGGATTCTCAATATTTATGGTCAGTGGTTCTTAAAAATATGTATATCAGTTGGTGGTTTTCACTAAATTTTGACAGCAATACCTTGTTGGCAATGCTAGTGATAAACGACTTGATATCTAACTGTGTTGGACAGCTCTTCTGACATGGAGCATCAGCACACTTGAGACACCTGTAATTAAGCAATCACTGTGAACAATCACATAAGACTGCCGTATGAACATATGATCATTTTTCAGACAACTCCAAACAAGGCATAAAAATCCCTCATAGGAAAAAAAAAATGTAGTTGTGTGTTGAGGGAATCTCATCACTTCAACCCACATCTTCTAGTGCCCACTATCAAGTTTCTTAGTACTGGTTACTTAAAGTTCAGTGTCCAAAAAAATGAGCCACTGACAGTATTTGGTGGCAGTTTTTCAAGTGCCTGAAGCCAAAAAAATGGAAAGCTGCCAGAGATTAATGAGCAGTCTCATAAATGACATTGATATTGATAACAGTTCCCTATATCAAAATTAATATATTAGTGCCATGAAAAATTCAATTACTTTATAGTCAAATAATTACTCACTAACATTAAGTAATACATTAAATAACCTTCAATATACCTTGCTGCCTCTCTTAAAGCTGCCCTTTCACTCAGGGTCGTGTGTTTGACATCATCAAAGTTGTTAACAAGACTTTCACAACTCTGGATGATCAATCCAAAAAGAATTATCAAAAAGTAAAATGACTGTATTTATTTATTAAATGTAAAATCTGTAAATTATGTTCTTCAAATTAATACAGTTCCACCTTGACTAGTATCATGGGCACAGCATCCTTAACTACTAAACAACAGGATTACGATGTGCAAATTTTGGAATCTTACAAATGATAATACCCTTTTTGCTGTCTATTTCTAAGGATGTATGACAGATCTCCATCACTGCTTTTTTGACTTGACTATCAGCAAACTTTGATTTTTTGTCATTTCAGTTACTTATTCTAGCCAGTGCCATTAGAGTACTAACCTGACTTAAAGAAAAGTATGAAATAATTTTCTTATTCAGTAGAATGTTAAATGAGCCTTTGCCATGGGATCCTCTTTGTTGGGAATGCATTACCTTAGCATTACCTGTACAATCTTTAAAGTAATTTTTAATCCATCTGTCTCTCTCAATGTAGTATGTAATATTTTCAAACAATTTAAGGAATCATTTAACGCTATCTACGATAACCCTAATCTGTGGAACCAGTATTAAGCAGTCCACCTCTATGAGCAGTCACCACACCATTCACAGAAGGGGACTGCTTCAAACAAGTTCTTCTGTATTAACAAAGCCCCACCACTTACAGAACAGCCCTTTTCCAGATTCCTCTTCCAGTATTTTCTGTTGGACTTTGTTGTCAGTGTGGAAACCAAACTTGCATGTGGCTTTATCCTAGGGTTAAGGGCAAGTAGGTTCTAGAATAATAAATATAACCAAGTAAATAATGAATCATAACTTTTACTAACAATGCCACAATGAGTTACAGTTTATGAAGTATTTCTGCATACAGACACAGTTCTCCAAACAATTATGAAATAGAAAAAGGGGTACTTTACTCCTTTAAAAGAAAATGACAATTCAAACCATTTGACTAGATCTTCACCCATAATAATAGCAACCATTTTGTTAATGTGCACTTGCCACCAGTGCATGAGAAAAATTGTTGTTGTTCAGTTAGGGTGGACGATGAAGTACAAAAGAGAATTGATAATCAAACAAAATTCTCAAATGTGTTTGGTTAATACAGGACTGTACTTGTCATTGGAAACAGTGATGGGAGAGTTTATGGATCATGGCTGTTCTAATGGACAGTTCATGTTGTGCATATACTACTTGGCTCTTTTAATTGTGGAAAATGCAACTGTTGCAATTTTTACTATAAATTTGACAGATGGTAATTTGTTTCTCAAATTTTGACATTGGTTTGATCAAATAACATCGGTATATTTGTGTAATGAGTTTCACTTTGTACAGTCCAGGGCTTGACACCAACAGTAGCCTACTAGCCACAGACTAGTAGAAATTCAGTTTTGGCTAGTGGTTTTCAATTTCCACAAGCCAGTTTGGCTAGTAAACAGACTGAAATTCTCATAGCATCTAAAAACATCTAAGATGTCACTAGCCACTTAATTGGCTAGTAAGTTGAAAAGTTAGTGTCAAGCCCTGACAGTCTCAGAACGTATCCCCTAACTTATGGTGGGCAACATTCTCAGTTATGGTTCCTGAGATGTACAGGCATGGCAGCACTTTGGACATAATTTGTACTGATTGTTAAGAAGTCCTGTATTTGAGTGCCCATGAAATTTTCTGTCTAACAGCTTGGTCATGAAAGTTTTTCACCCTTTGTTACAACTGGAGAACACAAGTTTCACCTTGAATTATAAGGTTTCTGTTTCACTGAAAAACCTCTTTTGAATTCATGCATGGTTACTTAAAAGTGACCATCATACCAAGTCACATTAAGTCAGAGTAGAGTAGACATCTATATTTATACAGGATAGCCCCTTCAGTGTAGTAAACACTCATCAATGGGGGTCCTGTTAACCACCCATCCCACCCCAGGGGAGGACATCCATCACACCGTAATCTCGTGCATGGAAAATTAACGTCTCCTGCCCCTAACCCTACAGCAGACAGGACCTCCATTTATTTGTCCCTATCCGAGAAGACTAGAATATCTAACCATTTCTTGATGTTATAAAAAGGCAGCATATTCTTCTCAATTATTTTAAGACCCTGAGTGTTGGTCCGGCCGGGGCTCAAACCCTCGACCTCCTGCACAACAGTCCAGCACTCTACCCATTAAGCTAACCAGGAGGCAGTTCACCCTTTGTTACAACCATGTGCCTTAATATTAACAACTTTTCACCAAAGTGAAGATAATTATCCCAGCCACCAACACTGAGGTGAATAGCACATGGTTTTAGTGTATACTAACATAGTGAGATAATAAAGCTCAAAAATGTTATTTAAACTCATTTATTCCTGCACACGATTAGAGTTTCTAATTGGTGTAGTTTAGCTCTAGTTGTCAATCCCAAGCCAAATGTGTCAATTGGATATTTCACTCTTGTGGAAAAAAGAATAGCTGGCAAACTCTGGTGATGGTTTTGATTCCAATCTTGAGGAAGGACTTGCATGTTTAACACAATTTGCTATGTGCATGTTGCACATGAAAATAGGAACAAAACACAATACAA